TAGGTGGTGGTGAAAAGGAGGCATTCAACTGGATGCTCATGGTCTAAGCCTGGCTGCCAAGTTCATGCTGTGCTCTACTTCAACTGCCTCTGTAGGTTTGGCAGGTCTAAGGTCATGGGGAGCCCAGGCCTGGGGCAGGGCTGGAGGCTGGTGCAGGCTTGGTGACCAGAGCTTCCCAGCCACCTATGGAGCAACATGTGTTCAAGATGAGTCATTTCTCAGGGTAATTCTGGACAGAATGTGAGCATATAACCCCTTCTGAATTCAGGACACCCTGCACTTGTAGGGTGGATCATGCTGCTGTAGTTCAGCGGAACGTGGTTTTCTTTTCCACAAACTTGTGGTTCACCACCTACTTCTGGGTGCTCTTATTAGCTTTTTGGTTTGTGGACAAGATGGGGAGCTTTCTTAACATCAATGTGTGCTGGTAATTTTATTGCCTTTTCCTCTTAATTCAGTCCCACTCTTTCCCTTCCATTTTTCCAGGGCAGCCCTCTGCCCCAGGAATTACAGGGCACGAAGGTGAATACCATGGAAAACACACCAATGACACTGACCTACTGGAGATCAAAGCCGGGTCAGGAAGAGCTACTGTTACCCTTTGACATGCGCTGAGAACCCTGAAACACTCTGATTTGATTTCTATCTTAATAGTGTCTGTTAATTGACAAATGTGGAATATGACGAGGGAGAAGCCAAAATTCCCCCAACTTCCCAAAGCAAAAAGCAAGAGCGTATAATTGTCAGACACATGATAGTATTGTCAAAAGTACACAATCTGCTGTGGATTGTGAAACGCATAATGGTTCTGTCTGTTCTAAGATTAAAGATGACAAAATTTTCGCCAGAATAGAAAATAAAGAAAAAAAATATATTGATCACGCTACGCCTATATTTACTGAGCACACTCTGAGTTTTATGTACATTATCTACAATCTTCACAATAAACCAGCTCTTAGAAATTATTAACCTTACTTTACAGATAAGAAACATGTGCTCAGAGAGATTAAGCAATTTGCTCAGAGTCACCCAGCTGGTATAAGACAAGACACAGCCAGGAATTGAACTTAGTGGCAGTTGAATTCTAAGACCCTTGTTCTTTTCTGCAACCTCCAAGAGTGGGAGATCCAGTGCTCTGGGCAGGTACTCTTTTGGTCTTCCTGTAAACACAGTCTGCACAGCAGGCAGAAGGATCCCGAGACCTGTTTCAACACACTCAAGTGGCACAGCCTACTCTCTCTACAGTGGAAATACATCACTTCCATTTTTATCCTTAACGGAAGATTGTATTCACCCAACTTCGTACCACCATACAGCAACCCCAGGAAGAGAATTCTCAAGCACCCTCCTCCACTTTTTAACTTTGCAATGACAGTAGTTGAGAAAAGGCAACAAGAGTTGTGTATTTTAGGATTCCAAAACTCCTACCACATGTTGAAGATTGTAACAAACAAACACAAATCGAAGCTGTCTTAAGTCTCTGCTCTCATCGGGTTGAGCCAGCGAGGCGGTGGCATTGCACAAAAGTCCACTTGTTCTCAGGGAAGGCACGGAGCGCTTTCCTGGGGAGAAGGGAGGCCCGTTTGTGGTTACCGGTCTCTGGTTTCTCATTTTCATAGCGATGGCGCTTTCCCATAAACAGTCCCTTTTGCCTGGAACGTTCTTCCCAGCTTGCCTTAATGAATACCACTCTTTGTTTCACATCTCTGCTCATCGGGTGCGCCTTTCTGTCCAGCTCCGGCCCCTCACAGCTCCCTTAATACAGTTTATATTTTTACTTTTTTGTGGGATCTGGCAAGGACTAAATCCCCGCCCGGGTACGCCTAGAGGCCGCAATATCCTGGGCCTGGCACTATGGGCTAATCAAAGAGAAATAACTATCTCTTGTCACCCTTCTCACCCCTAAACCTGCCCACCCTCTTTCCGGAAGTCTCCCCTAGCCTCCCAGGCAGCCGAAATCCTTTCGCACCACGCAGCAAACCGCTAATCGGCCGTGCCTGGTACTCCGACTCCACCCTTAAGCTCTCAGCAGCAGAGCTCCGCCCTCCGCCGGCCCTGCCTCTCTGCGCCTGCGCTCTTGGGATCGAGACCCGGAGTTCCGCACCCCCCCGCCGGAAGTCTTCACTATTCTCCTCCTTTGAGTTTAAGGGAAGTTTGGGCCCAAGCATTTTTATCAGTCTTTAATAAGACTTGATACTAAAGGAAAAAATGAAATCGGTTTATCTTTGGCCACGTTAATCCAGGTTCTGTTTGGATTTACCCCTCATCCAAAATAATGGTACAGCCCCAGATTAGCCCCGCCCCCTACCACCACCGCCCCGCCCCCTACCACCAACGCCTCGCCGCTTGAGGCGAAGTGGCGTCTCTGTTCCGCGGTAGTCACGTCCCTCGGGAGGTAGATCCACGCCCCGGTTCACGCCTTCCCAGCGCGCTGCTCAGTCTCCGCCGTTGCTAAGTGGCCGTGGATACCTGGCGGGGAGATACTGGGCGGTGTCAGGTGAAGATGGTGGTCACTGGGCCTCAGGTAAGAAGAGCTCCGACTGTGATGGGCCAGCCGGGGCGTTGGGGCGGCCTGGGAGCTGGCGAGGGCCTCGCCGGACTGTCCGCGGGGCCTCTGGGACAGTCTTATGGAAAATTGAGGTCCTCG